TACAGTAAGTTCATGACACACATGTGATTAAGTAGTTTAAATTCCATAACAAAACATTTGTATGAGGCTGCACTGAAGGCTGACAAATGGGTGAAAACAGAAACTGTTTTTAAATTCTCAGAAACTGAAATTTGTTAAGGTTATGGTATGTAAAATTTTGCAAAAAATGAGCATGTACTTGACAAGTTTTACAATAGTAAACTTTAATGCAGTGAACTTTCGCTGCAAAGCCTTATGCAACAAATGCATGACCTACGTGTCTTTAAGTAGCACTGGTGTTTTCTTTTAACTTCAAGGACTCCTAATCTTAGCACAGAAATGTGCTCACCATTGATTTTAGGTTGTTTACTTGATAGAAAATACAATTACTTACAGGACAATTCTCTAAAAATAGTATCTATGAATAATTAGTGTAACTACAGGAGTGTATTTACAGCATGGGCACAATGTAAATGTTAGCTTAACTGTCATCTAGTGTAGGGGAAAGTATTACACCCAAGACATGAGAAAACCCAGTGAAATTTTAGTTGGATTTTCCTTGTGCTTATGATCTGACACCACTCTTAACCATGTCACTATAGGCTTTTCTTTGTCCATTTCATTCAGGAAAGACATTTACAAAACTCAATTAGTCTTCCTTGGGACAAAAAATAAATCCTGAATATAATAATGCTTTATCATTACATACCCCTCTGTTCAGAACTACACTTCCCAACTCTAAGGGTTGAAATAGCTGTATTGCAAAAAGAAGGCAGAATCCTTGCAACACTTAAGCAGAAGTGATATAAAAATATGTAGTAAAAAACAAAAAAAAAAGACTAAAAGTTGCTTGTTTCCTGAAACAAAAGCTAGCAAAGTATTTGAAATTTGAAATAAAATACGAGATCAACAGTAGTGTACTGATGCAGTTACCACTATTAGTACACTAGTTACAACATTACTACTACTATAGTTACAATATTGTACTACTATATTAGTTACAATAGTTACCATTAGTAACTAGTAATATAGTCTTACTAATGTTAGTAGTTACTAATGTAGTTAACAGCTTTGTCACAACTAAGTCAACCACAAAATCTCAAAGACTCGAGCAAGAAATGTAGAATACATGAAATGCATCTTTAACTAAGAGTGATACTAGATTTTCAGGGCCTGGTAATTCTTTTTTTGATGGACCTTTCTCTAGTACTATATGCTACACAGAAATATTACGGCCACAAAGGCCTTCACTCTTATTTTTATAGGACATCAACTATGCTACCATAATAAACATCCATAGCAAAGCAAAATTAGTGGTTTACAGCTTCAGAGCTTCTAATAGTTCAACAATGACAACAATGCTTATGAGAGTACGTTTTATGTTTAATGTAACAGAGGGCCTCTTAATGAGAAATTCTGAAATTACTGTACCTACTGATTTTCACAGGAAACACTATTCAGAAATTAGTTCAGATATCTATCATTCTACTTAGAGTCTTATTTTTGTTGTATGTAGTTTACTTATTGAAAATGTCACTGTAAGAATGCTTGTGACCTCTGGCTTGTGCTTGCAGAAGACCTGGACTGTATCTTGCACTGGAATTTTTGCTGATGTAATCACATTAGCAAAACTACATTTTTTATGTACACGTTTGCTGATATGTCCGGTAATGTGTACACATGTAATGTGTACAGTTGATCTGTATCAACTGGAGGGAAGGGAAAAGAAGAAAAAACAATCAGTCAGCATTAAACATAATTTTAGGACTTGCAAAGACTCGTATCTCTCTAAGCAGTTTTCAGATTCACAGCACTAACCAGTCCTATTCTGGTACAGATTAAACCATTTCATGCTTAGCTACTGTGTGATTTCCTTAAAAGTCCATAAGGACGCAACTGATATTTTCATTTTAGCATTCGCATTGCGAACAGTAGTTACATGTTGGCAGACTGGGAGAACACAATTTCATGAAACATGCCAAGTGTACTTCTGGTATACCGCTGGAAGATAGGAGCTGAAGACAAGTAACATAGCATGGACAATCGTCTGCTTTGGACCAGTCAGCAAAGGACTGCATTACTACTTATGATGTAATGTGTCAAAGAGATCTGAAGAGGGTCAAGAAAATACTTTATGTGACAAACAGTATTTTTTCCTGTGGCAAAACGTACTTTCAGAAAAGTCCAAGGTTTTGACAGGTTGTTATCAGGACACTGAGGGAACTGAAAGCAACTGAAATCCTCCAGCAATGCCGATGTAAATGAGATCCCAGTAAGCACAGGGCTCAATAGAGTAATCTTCTGTGCTCTCTTCCTACAGCCTCTGACAGAGAAAAAGGATGCACTGGGAATAGTTTGTGGCTGTCATGGAGTCAGAGGGGGACAGTTTTAGCAACTACTAGAAGTTCCTTCCTGGTCACATCAGAGCTGATGTTGAAAAGAGGAAATTGCCCTTCTTCTTCCCTAAAGTGACAGTTGTGTTTAAAAAGGTTGCATTAAAAACTAGGTCTCTACACAGGCAATACATCTCTACTTCATAACCAAATACATTTTTCTTAAACAATATTCAAATCAAATCTAAGTTGGTGCTGGGACTGAACCTGGGCCACTGATACATTGCACAGTGCCAGTATTAAATAAATACTCGAGAAAAGCAGTGATACCTATTTTTGCATTAAGACTAAAGTATTTTTTATGCTTTTCAAAAGCTATGCAGAATGAGGAGGATTTGTCAAAATTCCCTCTGAATCCTCTAGCTGTTCCCTCTTCTCCAATCTCATGAACTGTGAGTAAAGGCAACTGCAGACACTAGAAATGGAACACTCTCACCCCATCTGTTCAGAAATACACATTTGGAAAAAATGCAACAAGCAACACTTCTATAAAGCAGAAGTAAGCAACAGCAGTGAAACCATTTGAAAGTATTATAAGGACAGTTTTGCAAAGACCTAAAAATAGAATAAGTACAAAAATACATGCAATACTGGAACGTGCTCAGTAATTTCTGTGCTACATTCACAGTTTCATGGAAAACAAACCTGATAAACTATTGCTCAAGAAAGAAAAACAACATACGGCCTACTTGCATGAGTCTGATTTGGTGCTTAGCATTGTAATTCGCAATAAACCCATATATTATATACGTGGCAATTATATAGAAAAAGATATTAAGTTATAACTAAACCTGCCAATATTTGCATTGTTATCCTGTTTGCAACTCATCTCTCATCATTCATAACTTAAAATTCAGTGTATGATTAATGACTCTCTCCCCTTCCTTTTAATTTTTATTGATGAAAAACATGGTATTCTAAAAAAGCCTCCCATTTTTTAAGGCCAGTGCCAAGTTTCATGCTACATTTTCTCTGAGAAACAGTCAGTACAAATATAGAATTTAGCATACTTCAAGAAAACTAGTAATGTATTTACTGTATCTGACTGAAGACACAAATAGCAGGCAGCCAGCCATTCATAAAGAAATGGTAAAACGTTAACATGGTCATACCATTAATTAATTCTTAATGAGATAATGCTGCTTATAACTGTTTTTCCATGAACAAAGTTTTTGTGGTGTTATGCAGTGAACAGGCATATAATTTACGTAGGAGTTGAATACTATAAAGAGATGAAGCCCTCTATTTACCCACCGGCCAGGAAGAAATCACAGAGCTTCATACACTCTTGAGATGGAGCGATCTCTCCAGTGGCAAGATACAACCATCACACTATGTTACCACGGTGCATTTCCTGCACGAGGAATTACAAATGTCACATATTTTATGTGCCTTAGATGTGATACAGCACTCAAGTTCTACCAAAATAGTATAAGGTAGCCAGTATTTCCATTAGAGGTTTTTAATTCCAAGTTTGTTTGTATTTTTAAAAAATGCAGCTTGCCAACCTGATACCTGGTATAGTAAACTAGAGTGCAAACTCGCTTGTCAGTTTTCAGTGTGAAATTTCAGGGTTTTTTGAAACTATTCCTTAGGTGTCATTTCCAAGATACCCAATAGGCCATTTTCCACACTATTTAAAAAGAACCAAAATTCTTTAGAAAAAAATTGCTCTAAGCAGGGAATCTAGAATCCATTTCTGAAAACACAATGACACATATATTTCCTTCATATATAGACCTTCTTCTTGAACTAAAAATATTTTTAATATCCACGTGTAATCTCAGTTAAATAGGTCAAAAAAACCCCCAAACTAATGGCTGAAAAGTGGCCTTGTCTACAGAGGTCTCTTAGCCTACTTGTCCTTTATTATTTATTAAATCCCTTAATTATGTAATCATATGACAAATCATAGTAAACGTAGAGGTTATTAAATAAAATAATTTTAAACAGACAAAAATTCTAGTTTATTTTTTGACTGAAGTTTGCATACTGAAGATGATAAATAGGTGCTTTTCTATGGCCATGATTGCACGCAGTTTCAGTGTTTATGAGTTGATTTAGACACTTTTAGCTGTTCAACGTTCAAGCTTCGGTAAATATACATCAAGACATGACATCTCTTAATATCACTTCAGATAGATTTTGTGCTCTTTTTCTCATACATGTAGGCAGAAAATATAAAGCCAGATTTACATTAATCACCCTACTATAAATTCAGTATAATGCATAAATAAAACAGGTAACTTCAAACACTGTTCTGGATTTAGATGACAACTCAAGAAATTAGCAGAAACCTTTCATGTCCAAAATGGTCAAGCTAATGATCAGATGACCAAAAGTTTTGTTGTATTAATTTTTTAAACAATCCATAATACAGCCAAGTTCCTCTATAGTTCATGTTGAATTTCCTACTTGCATTCCTAATATGGGGGCCACCAGAATGAAGGTAAACAAACCACATATTAGTTGCACTGCTTTCTTGTTTGTCCCCAAGTCTAAGGCAATACTGTTCTATAAAGATCTTCTGTTTCCCTTATGCTTAACTGTAAACAGCAAGGACTCCCCAGTATGTTTTTCATTTCAAAAGCTCATATACCAACTGTTGTGATATCATCTGTCACTCACCTCAGCCACCTGCTGAGTCTCCACTACCTGCTGAGCCAGCACCTCCATATTGGTTGTCATGGTGAAACAAGATCATTAGAGAACCTGTTCGAAAAGATGCCAGCAACTTCCATCAGGCACAAAAGTTAGGGGTTTAATTCTTATTAAAGAAAGCTCCAATATAACTTTGTGATAATTTACAATACTGTTTGACATATCTGACAAATAGGAAAATATACCATGGATGCATGTGTGTGTGCACGCACATATATAATATACACATATACGTACATATGCACATGCATATTGGAACCATACTGTTCAAAAAACTTAGGCACGTAGTTATTCTTTTACTTTACAAAACCTCAGATATACTGTTTTTACTCTATTATTTATGCTGTGAAGAAGAAATTTTAATTTCATAGCTTAGGCCTAATTTAAGTGTCAACTACCGACACAGTTTGTGGAATCCACAGATCTCTCAGGTGCTTTCCTCAACTCAAGAGAGAAACTTTACAGTTAAACTGCTTCTACACTATGTGCTGAACAAGGAAACAGCAATCTAAGAATGCTGGTTTGAGCAAATTTTTATTGAGTCGTTCCATCAAACTGCCATGTTCATCCGTATTCTTATGGTAATCTTGCACAATAAGGGAAATAAATTGTAACATCTAAAATGTATTTTCTACTATCTAAACTATTTTTTTATTATACTGTGATAGTATCCTCAGTCTGAGGAGAAAATACTGCAGAACTAGTTTATCCTGCTGTGTCAGTACCGTCAACTTTATGCTCTTCAGGTTTCAAAAAAAAAAAAAAAATGCAAACAGGAAACAGAAGAAACAAGAAAAAAACACTTCCAGTATATTTTTAACGATCATTATCAGGCCTGTGTTTCTCCAAGGGTAAATTTAGGATTTCAAAATCATGCATTCAGTTTTTAATTGTGACTCTCATTAGAGCCAGAGTTCAGATTGTGACCCAGGTGTAAGTAATGAAAAGGCATTCCTGAATACTGGCCCATTTGATGTTTTATTGAAAATCTTCTATTGGTACTTGCAAAGCAATCATTTAACATAAAATTTAAAAATACTATGAACAATAGCAAAACATGTAACAGAAAAACACATGCATGTCTCCAGTACCATCCCCCCCCATTCAAATGCAACTTCTACAAAGCTAACATTGTTGAAAATGTCAAAATTCAGTTAAAAATATTAAATCATATTGTGGTAAATTAAATGTGAAAATTATTTTGCCAATGCAAGACTATTTGTAACAATGCATAATCAAAATGGAGACATTCCCTATGGAAATCATACTTATGCTAGTTTCTCATACAGATTATCATTTTTATTCAAGTGTTCCACTTGCACAGTAAGCTTATGAACCATTTCCACCAGACTTATTTAATATTACAGTTTGTGGATGGTTACTCAGTTGTTAAGTAATTCCTTTTCAGTGTTTTATTTTAAATTCACTTTTTACATTCAGCAAGGAAGATAACCATATGCTCAAAACATGATGTCTTCTCAGTGTTTTAAGATGAAGGAAGCCCTGAAGATACTTTGTTCATAAGAATACCTAAGACTCAATTTAAATCTTTGCTGTGGTAAGGCTCTGACAGATTACCTACTGGTGTTATTATCCACCAATGTTTTTGTACTTTCGACCTTCCCAAAACCGTAAGAAGCTGAAGCTATCTGATCAAATCCAATTGGAAGGCCAGAGACCATACACAGCCATGCCAGGTAAGCCTGTTAATGATGTTGACTCCCAGAACATGACACAAGGCAAAATCAGCTTCCTAGCAAAACCACCGAGCAGCAGAGTTCCTAAGGAACAACAAACAAACCAACCAAAACAAAACAAAACAAACCACACACAGACAAAAACCCAACCAACCAAACAAAAAACAATCCTAAAGCAAACCAATGAAAAAGGTGGAACTTAAAAACAGAAAGGAGGCCCCCAGAGCACCAGGAAATTATTTTCAATGTAACAGGGCAGTAGCCAACTCAGTACACGTAGATGTGCTGCTTGTCCAAAATACGGCATAAAAATCATTCATCTCTCCCTAAATTGCAGTGAAATCTCCACAGAAAATCATGCACTCCATCTGATACATTCTAGGGGTATGGCCCTACTCGGATGACATGGCAAAAGGCCGAACTCAAGCTTATTGAAAATTATTCCTTTGTCTTAAGGAAACAGGGTGCTTCAAATTGCGTGCCTGATTCGGCTAGCTCGAGCAGCAGGCCTTCTCCTCAGCAGGAGCCTGGAGGCGGAGGCAGGAAAGGCGGGGCTCGCAGGTTAGGCTCTGCCGGAAGCCCGTTACGCTGTCGCCGGGGCAGGCAGCCGCCCGGAGCCCTTGCAACAGTCGATACGGCAGAGAATGCCGAAGGCCGAGCTGCAGGCAGGAGCAGCCGGGCCAGCCCCGGCCCGCCGCAGCCTCCTTCCCGCCGCAGCCTCCTTCCCGCCGCGCTCGCCTCCCGCCCCCATTGGCCGCCGCCTGCTCGGGTCCCGCTGACGCGCCGCGCCGCGCCCGCGCGCTCCCGGCGAGCCTTCAGGCAGCTCCCGCCCCGCGCGCCGTAAAGACCATACCACCACCACCACCCCCCCGCCTCCCGTCCCGACCAATGACCTCATCGGACACGCAGCACTCCCACGCACGCCACCGATTGGCGGAGAGAACCGCCTGTAAGGCAGGCGGCCCCGCCTCTCGAGTCAGAAGGAAAACACCCGAGGGACGCGTCTGAGCACAAGATGGCGGCGCTGGCCGGCGGCCAAGTCCCAGGCGGGGCTGCTGCCGCCGCCATTAGGCCCCCCTCCCCCTCCCCTCCGGTATATCCTTATGTCAGGCTAGTAGAGGCCCGGGCACGGCAGTAGGGAAGCGGCCGGTAAGATGGCGGCGGTCTCAGCCCCGTATGCAAAGTACCCGCCGCCCCCTCCCCTCCGCCCTCCCGGTGGCAAAGGTAAAAGGGTCGGGTTCAAGCCGCCGCCTCCGCCCGCTCAGACTCCATCTTCTCTGTGTCCGCGTCCCGAGCTCGTCACGGCCGCGACCATCGCCCCTGCGACCCCCCGGACAGCAGACTACTCTCACCGAGACTGGACCGGCTCCGACCTCAGGCGGCCCACATTCCAGCCCAGCGGGTCCGCGACGGGATTCCCACACCGGATCGGCCCAGCACCTCCCAATGGCGCTCCCTCTCTTCAGGAGCTGCAGGCCAGCCTACGGCACGGCCGGCTCGCACTTAACAGCAAAATACCGGAGCCTTAAAATCCCCCCTCCCCTCAAACCGAGCGTTACCCCTCCCCTTTGCCGCTCGCGGGGGTGTCCCGATCAGGGCCCCGATGCCGCCCCCCCCCCCCCCCTCCGCGCCCCCTCCCTCTTCCTGGCCCCAACGAAAGAAAACCGGGCCGCCTCAATTTTAAAAAGCGATCTTTACCTCAGGAACTGGCGCCAAACGTGCCCTGGCGGCGACCCTGACCCTGGCCCAGGCGGGCCGGTGTTGGGTGACGGTGCCCAGCGGCGGCCCTCCCTCCCCCCGCGAGGGCGGCAGCGGTGAAGGGGCTCGGGGGGTCCGCGAAGGGAAAGGGGGGCCGGGTCTGTATTAGGGGGCCGCGCGGGGGGTGGTGGTGGTGGTGTTGTGTTTTGTGTGCCGTGCCCCTGTGAAAGGTCAGGGTTCGTGACCCCGGCCGCCGCCGCCGCCGCCCCAGAGCATTTCCCCGCTTCCTCTCCCCAGCACCGGGCCGGCCGCGGCCCCCTCCATCCCCCTCGCGGGGCGGGGCTGGGGACGGCGGCGGGGGAGGGGCTACCTGAGCCGCTCCGAGCCTCCGCGCCGCGGCCCCGGCGGGCAGCGCGCCGCGGGCCCGCTCCGGCCGTGCCCCCCTCCGGCCGTGCCCTCCGCTCCGGCCGTGCCCCCCTCCGGCCGTGCCCCCCTCCGGCCGTGCCCCGCTCCGGCCGTGCCCCCCTCCGGCCGTGCCCCCCCCTCCGGCCGTGCCCCCCCCTCCGGCCGTGCCCCCCCCTCCGGCCGTGCCCTCCGCTCCGGCCGTGCCCCCCGCTCCGGCCGTGCCCCGCTCCGGCCGTGCCCCCCCCTCCGGCCGTGCCCCCCCCTCCGGCCGTGCCCCGCTCCGGCCGTGCCCCCCGCTCCGGCCGTGCCCCCCCCTCCGGCCGTGCCCCGCTCCGGCCGTGCCCCCCGCTCCGGCCGTGCCCCGCTCCGGCCGTGCCCTCCGCTCCGGCCGTGCCCCCCGCTCCGGCCGTGCCCCCCCCTCCGGCCGTGCCCCGCTCCGGCCGTGCCCCCCCCTCCGGCCGTGCCCCCCCCTCCGGCCGTGCCCCGCTCCGGCCGTGCCCCCCGCTCCGGCCGTGCCCCCTCCGGCCGTGCCCCCCGCTCCGGCCGTGCCCCCTCCGGCCGTGCCCCCCGCTCCGGCCGTGCCCCCTCCGGCCGTGCCCCCCGCGCCGGGCCGGCACCTCAGCCTGGCAGATCCCAGGCTCCCCCCTCCGAAACCGAGGGGAAAACGCTGCCCCGGTTCAAAGGCGAGCCTTTGTAACTCCCGCTTGCGAGCCTCCTCTGTGGCCCGCAGCGGGAAATGGTTGGAGGTGGTTAGCGTGTGCACAGGTGGGTGGTGGTGTTCCACGTGTGTCTTGGTTCCTAGTAAAGAAGCAGAGTCAAAGTTAGCTTTGCAGTTGATGCTGGCTTTCACGAGGGCCGCTACCAGACTGTCCTGACGTTTTCTTAAAGTTTGTAAAGTCAGGTCACTGATGAGGGCTCTCACAGTGGAGCGAGCTGTAAGCGAAGCTCGTTCTGCCTCCGAATGCGTGATTGTAGGGGTGAGCCAGGTTTGGGTGCGGCTGAGGTAGTTTTAAGAGCTTGCCACCTTTCAGTGCTGGTCATCTCTTTCAGAGGCTATTGTATGTCAAACCGCGACCCTGGTTCACAGTCATAACTGTAGCTATTTCTTAACCTACCCCTATAAAAATTATCTTAATGCTTCTAGTAAGTTTCTATTAATTCTGGTAATTTTGACAGTAGCTAACTCAAGGAGTGGTCAGACGAACAGTAGAACTGAAAGATACGAAGTAATAGTAACTCCTGAAAAGAAATGTATGAACGAGAGAGCAGCTGAAGGCAATAATCACATAAACAGGGGCTGCTGTTGTCTGAATAGTTACACAGTCAGCACCCTGATGGTTTTTTTGTTTTGGTTTTGGGTTTTTTTTTCTTGTTGTTAAAACTGGCTATTTGGGGTAGGGATATGAGAAATGAAGGACTATGCCTATGAATTGTAGCCCTATTGTCACAAAACTGGAGTGAATAACATTGAAGTATATGGTGTACATATGTGTTTGCAATACATATGTAAAATAAAATGTTTCAAAAAGTGTCCTGGGTGTTTGTTCGCTATTGTAGCATTAAAAACATGAAGAATTTTCAAATTCCTAAAACAGTGACATGCATATACCTTCAAAAGCAGATTTTTTTATTAAATTTCATAAAACATACTATTAAAGTAAATATCTTTTTGTAATGCAGATACCGTTAAGAATTTTCAAAGTTCTCATAATAGCCTTACTGTAGAGGTAGGTTAGGTGTTAGGGTAGGACTATGTTTCCCTTATTATAAATGAAGGATAATGACTTGTGGAGCAGCATCTATGAACACACTGTGTTTTTACAATGGAGGATTTGGCAAAAAAGCCCACCTTCTTTTAAAGTAAAATAAACTAAGGGAATAAATTGCTGCTAGTCTAGCTTTAAACTCCGGGATGTTCATCTGTTGGTTGTAAGCAAATTTAAACTGAATCTTTAGTTTTGTCCTTTATTTGCTATACTCAAATGTTTTCATCAGACTCTTAATCATTTTTTTTGATTATTGTTTTCACACCAGCTGTGTTCATGGTTACGTAGAAAGGTATTTCAGTCTTGTCAGAGAATTCTCTGACAACACCTAGTATTTCTTGCCAGTGGTTATGTTCAGTTGTGCACTATTCATTAATGGATTATCACTTCCTAAATAAACCAGAGGAGAATCCCACCGTGAATAAAGAAGCTTTTGACTTTTAGCATTACCTTATGAGCAGGAAAATCAGCATATATAGAATGGTGAGGAAGTAGACTAGGATGCTTTCAGTTAAAGTTCTGCTTTATATAGAAATCTCTGTAGTGATGCTTATTTTGATCTCTTCAGGGAAATAGTGTGTTATTTTTCCTGGATAAAAAAAAAAATACATTTTAAATTGATTTGCTTCTGCTCACTAGCAAATTCTCTTGCCCACACATCTTAAAGGTGGTTCAGCATTTCTCTAGCTTTTGACTGCTATCCTGTTCCTTTCTACTTTTCTGATCTCTGGCTGTTAGTATTTCAAGTGGATTGAAACTCTGAGCTTTTCAGTTGGTGCATAGAAAGAGCCAGGACTTTTCAAGGACTCCCAATAATATCTTTCCTAGGTGTTTGTGTTTTGGCATTTGTTTGCTTTTCTGTAGTAATTGTTCTGTAATTGCTTATGGGATAAGTAATTTTCCCACAAGTCTTCTCGACCCTTTATGCCATTCCGTGTTTAGAAGTGTGCAAGAGTGTCTTTGGGGGATGCGGTTTTCTTTTTTTAATTGACTTGGGCAAAGGTGCATTTAGGTATCATGACAAAGCTTTGTCAGTAGTCTTAGTGCATGAGAGAATTTACCAATTGGCTTAGAACTGATAAATTAGAGGGATAGACTCTAGTGCAGCTTATTTACTGGCTTGCTCACCATCTATTCTGTCTTATGTTGTAGCCTCTTTTGACATAGGCTGTCTGTCTTCTGGTTTTACGTACTGAAAAATAGCAGGATTCTGCACTCTGGGCTCATAGGCACTGCAGCAATAACCTTGTATATCCTGTGCCCTTCCGCTGTATGATAGTCAGGTGGTCTAGCTAGGAAGGTTGCTTCTCTTGTCTGTGTAGTTACTGCTTTTGTTTCTTGGCCTTTTAAAGTGTCCTGCCCCTAGTGTTGTGTTTAAGTATGTATTTCTGACTTGTCACTACATTTTTTTCTTATATACATGTATATATATGAACAGAGTTCTCATAAAAGTAAATTTGAGATTTGTGTGAGGAAAGACTGGAAATATGAACGTGTTTGTCTGAAGGCCCTGCAAGTCCTGTCAAAGATTCTTATGTAAACTTGCACAATTAAAGATCTGCAATATCCTTTTTTATATGTATTAATAACCATTGGTAGCTCAAGGGAAAATGAAAATGCTTCTATAAACTGAGATTTTGGTTTCTGAAGGGTTTTCTTGATAATAAAGTATATATTGGCAACCAAATGTATGTGTACTTGTGAAAGGACTGCTGTGATATAATGGAGTAGGGGAATGGAAAAGACTGGCAATCACAGGGATGCTATGACCATAAAGCAGGTAGGTGCTGATGATGATTTCAAAGCATGTTATTTCTTCACCCTGTTGGATGTATACCTGAGCATACAGCCTGCTTCAGCAGGGCTGCCTCTTCCAGAGTTTTGTGCATTGTGAGAATTTTGCTGTGGGAGGACATTGTACTGAAGGTTTCTTTCTTTGGAGCCTAACTGATCTAGTGGTCAAGAGAAAGTGTTTTTTTTGTCTGTTTATATTATTGTGCTTTTGAGCATACACATTTTACTTCTTTGTTAAAGCCTAAGGTCTGAGATACTTTGAAAAGTAGGATATTGCACTTAGTCCAGTGATATTGCTGGAAGGCAATGTATACAGAAATGCTTTAAAAGTGTATTTTTCCTCTGAGTGGTTCTAGAAATGAAAATGCAGTAGAGAAGTGGGTATCTTATTAAGCAAAGCCTCCAGCTACCCTATTGAATGTTTTGCACAGTAATTTGTAAAGAAACCAAGTAAGATTGCTTAGCGTTATCTTGCAAGAACGTTCCAAGGTATACATTGATAGTTGCGAGGATTTGGAGTGGGGGGGAGCGATCATAAGTTAAAACTACATGTTTTCATAATATTACGACTATGGAAATAAAAATTTTGGTATCATAAATTTGAGCCTGTGCTTTAGTTTGTTTCTTGTGTTTAAAAACAGTGAACAATTTATTTCTGCTGTATAGTGTTGTAGTAATATCTGTAACTACTTGAAATTTTGGAAATATTAAATTTGCATCTCACAAGTAATCGGTTGTGATCGTGACAAGCTGTTACTTTTATAGTTGTTACTCATTTTTGGGATGGCTCTAGAAGTAGCTGACACAAACATACTCCCTGTGCTCTAGTGAGACAAACTTCTTGCCTGGGGGCTTATTTAAAGTTAGTAGCTGAAAAACACTGTAACTACAAAATATACCTAATTAAATGCTTATATATTCTTTAGTGTCTCTTCCAGTTGCTGTCCATCTTCTTTCATTCGCTTTTCAGAAATTCCTCTTGTTCCACTTACCTACAAGTCTCTGACTGAAAGGAATAATGGAAAATGCTAGAGCCAGAGATTAGTTGTTGGTTTCCCTCTCTCTGCTTCCTGCTTGGCAAGTTGAGAAAAGGTTTAGAGGACAGGAAGAGCTGTTTTCTTCTTCCCTTTTGCCACCAAGAGAAGGCCTTGCAGCAGTTCGGGCTCTGGTGCAGAGTGCAATCCTGCTTACGGTGCAGCTCCACTGTGTTTACTGAGGTTGGCAACAAAAAGTGCAGTGAAGAAAGCTGAATCAAGATCGTGACAAACTTTGCTGCAGTTCTTGCAATAACTTCAGTGGAATATAGAACTATACCGTATGACCTTAAGTTGTTTAATAAACAATATTGTATTAGGTAATGCTGAAATTTGCTAAATTTATATACATAAACTTCTAAAAGTGTACTAGTAAAAAGTGCTTGTTTAGATCCTTTT